GGGGGGGGGGTGATAAGCGAACAATTACATTATCGGCATGTGATAATAAGCGGCAGCCAATTAGCTATTCAGCGCTCTTTATGCCAGCTACGCTTTCGCTGTCACGCGTTCCTTATCGCCAACCTTCGCGAGGACGCGAAAATAACTCGCCCTTGACTTTGTAACGTCTTGCGCGCGGACTTGAAACACGCGAGTTGTAAAAATGTAATATTTCAAAGCGCGCGAGAAACAAAGCAGAATCAAGGCCCCAGCCGTTCCGAAGGATTCGCGTTTCTTCACATCTCGAAACGTCACCCGAGGTCGGCGGTTTTGATGGGGGGTTTTTTTTTTTTCTTTCCGAATCGAATAGATATTCTTCATGCGGAGGAGCCGCAACGAAAATCGATCGCGCGATCAAAAATTTGTCTTTAGCGCGATCTCGATCCATTTCCGAATAATAAGTTACAAATTTATTTTAATGACGAAGAAATTATGCGCGTCTGGCTCTCTAAATTTCTTGGAGTGAAGTTTCACTCGGAAAGTGGAGTGGCAGTCGCCGAGTCGCTCGAATTCGAACGATTGTTCACTTATATAGAGCAGGCATGGGAGCGACTTACTTTTCTCACATTTCTTAACTTGTCTCGAAACGTCCCACTTTTTCTCATTTTTTACTCACTCGATTTAAGCTCTTTCAGAAGAAAAGCTCGATTGCAAGGAATCATGTTCAATGACTAGCTTCTTTAAAGATAAGACAAAAGATTCAACGAAGATAGGAAGTAACAATGACTCCGAAGACACAACGTTCGCAGAGTGAAGAATTGTGATTTTATTTTTACGCTGATCTTATCAGCCTTGTCAGAAAAACAGACAATAACCGTCGTGAACACAGCTGGCTGTGTTCTCTTTAAATTACACAGTGGAATCGTTTGTCCATGATTTGTCTATATTTATCCATTCATAGTTCTTGTTTGTCCGCCAAGTCATTTATCAAAATAAGTTACTTACAAACGAAACTAAGAAAACAGACAATGACTATCAGAAACACACCTGACTGCATCTCCTTTAAATTGGATATTTTTGAACATTATTTCTTGAATATTATTCTGAAGAAATTGATTGACTAGTCTGTTTCAACAAAAACAGTCTAGTTTCAAAAAAAAAAAAATCTACAATTTAAAAATATCCTTTTGCTTCTAAAATTTGTTTGACGGAAAGATCTGGGATGTTCCAACGTCCTGGAAATATATTACAATGACCCAAGTATTGTTTCAATTTTATTTAATTAATATGTGTAAAAAAAACACAAATAATCTAATTTTTTGCGAAGAACTTCATTGTATCTAAATATGCGCCTAAAACCGAGTTTAAAGTCAATTTTAGGTTCCATAATGTAACTTTTCTGTTCTCCAAAATGTAAAATTTGCCCTTCATTGACTTTCAGAATGATCTATTTGCACACGTAGAAAACGCCGAGTGATCACGTTTCCGATTCGGAGAGGCGCGGCAACGCGCAAGAAGAGCGTGCGGACGGGAGTACCGCTCATGCGACGTCGCGCCCGCGGATTTCGGTAATCGGAAGCGGAACGAGATGCGGTCGAACGCATTGCGGCCTTAATGAAATTCGTTACGGTTCTCTTCTCGCAACCGTCGCGGCGGATCCAAGTTCAAGGTCGTTATGGTCGGCAGCACCGTTCCGCAACTCCCAGCGGATGGTATCGACGCCGTTCGCAACTCCTCCGGACTGTTACCTGCGCGAGGAAATATCACCGTGGCCACGTGCCACCGTGTCACGTGTCCGGCACAGTCGTGGCTCGGTAAATAAATCAAACGCGACTGCGCTTCTCGCGCGCGCACGTCGCACCGTTGAAAAAACATATCTTATTCCCCACGAGCGCGCGAATCTTCAGATGTTGTTGAAACGCAGCGAGTTCTCCCATCTGGTAAATTTCACACCGATCGCCGAATGTTTTCTGAAATACATATTTTTCATGAGCGCGTTCCGAAATTCACTGACTGTACTGACGGTATTATTGCTGAAATCATCATATTTCAGATATTCCGAAATTACTGGTAGACTGTGATAACATTGAAAATTGGAAGGTATTTGTAATATCATGCAGTATTAGCAAACAACGTGTTTTCATGATAAACATATTTAAAACGTATTTAAAATGTAAAAAGTGTGTAAAAGTGATTTTGAGATTCCCAGGTAGAACAGAAAATAACGATGACGTCAAAATGACGAAAAAATGTATATATATTATTATAAAACTCATTTCTCGATCCTTTCTTCATATCGTTTTTTTGACGTCATCATCATCGTTTTACCTGGTTTATGGCCAACTGAACACCGATTTTAGTCGATGCATAATTATATGTATATTATTATGCATTTTGTTGAAAATAATTTTCAAAGTTTATCATCGGATGATGATAATGATGATGATAATAAAAAGATAATTCAAATATTTTAAAATTAATGACAAAATCAATGAAGACCATTTGATATTAATTAAGACTATGTGTAAAAAATAATATTGAGAATGTATGCACTGAGAGAAAAATATTTGGTATTTGTAACTATAATCATTATAATAAAAGAATTATTGTCAGCAAAACTAATTTTCTAATAAGTATTACTATAATGTTAGTGATAATAACCTTACATGCATGTTGTACTATTATTTTTGTAGTTAAAGCTATAAAAAGATTATGATTGGCACCGAAAATAATTATAATTTCTCCCAGTGTCGTAGCCTTTCTATCAGATAAAGAATTCTAAAAACATTTAAATTGTCATCGCCATATGCAATATTGAACTTGCACTACTTCGGGATAACGTGTGATATCAGCCGAAAGTCAACAGTTCGCTAGGGCATACTTTCGTTAAAAAGGTAATACATTTTACTAGGTTGCAGCTGAAAACGATTTCGGAAGGCAAAAACGGTACTATCAATTATGATTTTAAAAAATTGCTTTTTTTTCACTTTTTGTTTAAAAAGTAACCGAATAGTGGAAAAGTTGAGAAATTCGGGGTTTTTGCAATTTTTCCCATTCATCCGTGGAAAGAAATCGAGAAAAACTGTGAATGGAAGAAACCCAAAATTTTTTCCGAGTCTTTAAAACTATACTATCAATACTATCAGCACATTTCGGGGTGCAGCCGATATTGTCGACTTCCTCGAGCGTTTTTAAGAACTTGTCGCTCGATGGACGAAAAGAACGGACGAGCGAGTATCGTTTTATCTTATCGGCAAAATTGTTAAAACGGTCGTACGACACTTACGTAAGGCGTGAATTTATTTCTTTTTACGAAAAATAAATTGTCTCGCAACACGAGTGCGTCGTCAAGTCGAGATAAACAGCGTGTGCGCCTCTAAATACCAAGCGTTCGTTTCTACTCGCGGATGCCGAAGCCTCGAACCATGAGAAAATTAACGAACGTATCTCTCTTTGAAGATTCTCCCAGAAGAGCTCGCGAACCGATGATCTTGAGCGTTTGTTTAATTGATAAAGCAGTCTCCAAGAGATACCCGGTTTTTTTCTTCTTTTCTCATTCTTAAACGCGCGCGAGAGTCGATAATCTCGACTTCCCGGAATTTTACAACGCTGAGAAATGACGAGTAATATTTATCTTCGCCTAATCTACACCGCGAGATTAACGGCACGAGATTTCCGGGACCCGGCTAATAAACAATTGTCGGGGCGCGCGCGAGAGCAGGAAGCCGCCGAAATGATTGCAGCAATGAACAAAAACAACTGACTCACTCGTTGCGCCGTGCTTAACAGTGTCCGCAGTGGGCAATTACGCCGAGGCGCGGACCTTTAGCATTTCGCTCATTAACGGAAGCATGATTCGCCGAATAAATCGCGGTGACGTCACACCGCGAGACGATGAGTCCCGAGAGCAACGAACCGCTCTCATCCGCGCGTTTCATCCCGCCTCGCCTCATCTCATCTCATCTGGTATCAAAGTCCGGGCACCCGGAGATTCTCCCAATGACTTCCGTGTTATCCTTCGAAGCTTATTCATCGGAGATTTTTCTGGAATCGACTGATCGGAGACGTCGACGGGCTCGCCGATCAGTTTTTAAGAATTATCGCAAGTGGCGTTCGGTATTCAAATTGTTCATTATCGGTATTGACACGATGGAGTACCGGTACTGCGGCGTGTGTGCAATGAATCACATGAGAGTAATGAAAATAAAGTATACAATGAATCATGACAATACACGTGTTAAGTAGAGAGCGTATCGAGCAAAGTCCTACAGCTGACGTAACATTACGACGTAATATTACGTACAGGAATTCCCTCACGAAATTCACCGACAATCGGTGCGCGTGCGTTAAATGTAAAATGAAATAATCCTCGTTGTTCATCGCTTGTCGAGTCGACATTCCCCGTATTAATCGGATTCTCTCGAAGGACCCGTGAAGAATCTCGGGATTGTAAATCTCTCAAAAACTGTACAAACCGTCGTTTTACCTTGATGCCACAGGTGATTATTTATTGTCATTTTATTCAGATTGAATTTTAAAGAAAACTTACTTCAGGATTATATAATGTTCGATTATCTCAATATTTTCACTCCTCGTAGTCTTTATTAATCTGTTTTTAATTGGAATTGAGGAATTTTCGATCGGATTTATAGACGCTTAAGGAGAGGGAAAGAATGATATTATAAGAGCGAAGACAACAGTTGCGTGTCCAATAATATTGCGTACTAATAAATATTTAAATTTGATTATTTGATAAATAACAAGATTGTACGTGAATTGAATAGAGGCATTTACAGGTGTTAATCAAGATAGGATCTGCTGTCTAAGGATTGTTATTAGACGCACAAACTATAGCACTTGCAAGACTTACGCTAGATTCTAGCGCTGGCAAATGATTTGTCTCATTTCTAGAGTTAAGAACATAATTATAGATATTCGTGGACCGTTGTTCGACTCGACTATTTGGATGAATATCCTCTGTTGTGCGAAATAATTCCAGGTACACGCATATTGACGAGTAATCAGTGATTCACGAAGCTATAATTAGCCAATGATTGACTTCGACTTGGATATTTCTCTATTCTCGATAAATTCATCAAACGTCAAAAGAAAAAATCCTCTGTATAATAAATCATTTGATCTAAAAATATACACGGAGAATATATTATAGTAAAAATTACCACAAAATTTTGTAATGTTAGATTTTATAATCGGAATTATAATTGACATTTTGATGTGTGTTGTAATCTTTAGTGGTGTACTTCATTGTATACATCGCTAAAGGTCACAATATATATAATAATTTCAGTCACAATTCCGGCATGGTCTAACATTACAAAATTTTGTGATCATTTTTACTACAATATTTTCTGCGTGTACGATGTATCGTAGCCCGTGTCCCGATGTCCTGCTTCCTTTGTCCTCGCTACCTGCATCGGTCAGCCAGGACGAGACGCGATCAGCAATACGTTATATATTTTCGTGCGTTAAATCATCTATTATATAGAACGAGAGACAATAACTTCGAAATATAAGAGAAAAAATCACTGAACAGAAATTGCAAGGATATGATGCGGTAGTCATCATTTCGAACACCTTCTATAAAAATTAACTTTTTTTTTTCATCTAGCCTTCATCTAGTTAATAAAATATTTTTCATTTTCGAAGATATTCAAGGTGGTAATAGTTATTGTCTCATTCAGTATACAGATTGTTTGACGAACTTACTATAAGATAGAGAGAGACCCGAGTCTAAATTTCGGCCGGCATTTATAAACCGCCATCATTTAACAAATAATTATGGCTTTGTGAATCTCTGATTATTCGCAAATCTATGCTTATTTCATGTATCGAGAAACGTCGATCCAGTTTAATAACAGGGCGTAAATATATAATTAATTATGCTCTCAATCGAAGGTAAATTAAATGATTTACAACTATGAGTATCAGTTTTATGACCTGACGATTTTAACCTCTTCAGGGATGAATTAAAAATTTTTCATTTCTGATCTGCTCTAATAGAGCGCACAAAAAACAAAGATACCTTATTCGCGAACCGATTTTGATACGTAGCCATCATGGCCTACTTTGATAATGTTTAATTTTTAAATTTCAAAAATTTCTGTAATTATAAATAACGGTAATTTTTTCAATAAAACTAAACGTACACATATGTGTCAATATCCCTGAAGAGGTTAATTTATATATCTGGCGAGTTTTTATTTTTTGCATCTAATAATATTTTTCCGGTTGTGAATTTTACTTTATTTATATCTGTCAACACCTGCCAACATCTGTCAACCCTTAATTTTTATTTAGTCTTAATTTTACAGAATCCAAATTTCAATCTGTATTGATACGCAGCATTATTGGACACTCTACTGTTATCTTCTTTATAACTTCCTCTTTATCTGTTATTTTTTTAATTTGTTGAGTGCGCAGCAATTCAGTGAGATATATAATCGCTGAGGGCGAAATACTTTGAGCTTGTAAGTCAACCGGTGAAAGAATAACTTCTTGAAAAATCGAAATCACACAGTAGACCGTTCTTAAGATACGTAAAAGAACATGAATATTAGTATCCGTCGCAATAATTGATAAATGCTATTTTTATTGGGAATATAAGCCGAAAAAATTCGTCGAACGAAAATATGTATCCATAGCACTTAAAAGGTTACAAGCTTCAAATCTTATCGAAATTTCCATTAAACAAAACAAGAAGATTAGAAAGAATATAATTTTCTGTTTTAATTAGCCATAAAAATTCCATTATATACATATTTACTCGTATTATTTAATATTTATTTACTGCTTATTTGTTCGTTCTCACATATTATCTGCAATATGTCACCATTACGATTCAATAACTATTAATATCTTTTGCCCATTGAAATTAAGAATAAAGATTAAATCCAATGGATTATTGGGATAAATGAATTATAGTTTCGAAGTTTCGGAAAAAAATTACCGT